AAAATCCTAGTTCAATTCTTCAATGAGAAAGCTTTTGGTATTTCTTGTTGATAGTTTTTGAGTACTTTTTTCTCTGTTATCGGCGAAGTACCCGCCATTTTGGATTCTTGAGAAAATTTTCAGTTCGAGAGAGACTGCAAACTAATAGGCTTCCTGTGGTTCGAGAGAGACTGGAAACTGCGACCCGACCCGACAGAAAAAAGGTAAAACTATAGCTGGCTAGCACAGCTAGCCCGCTAATAAGATCTTATATGTAACGTCTCTAAAGCTAGATTCAAATTCAAAATAATCGCACCTAAGCGTAATTCTCAACACTCAGTTTGTATATTAATTGTACTGAGAGGGCCCGTTGGGAACGAAAGGATAAACCTTTGAAACCTTTCGCAGCTAAGTGAACAATAAAASTAATGAATCCAAGAAAATAGGTATTGTTCCAGGTGCTACGCCGTGAAACGAGCGTTACGGGCCACAGGTAAACTGTGTACTAAGATGTTTTAATTGCATGCCMTACCGCCTAAAATTATAAAACATTGTTTGCAGCCCGATCACTGTAGGATGTTTTAAAGGTTATTATAAGACCGAAGAAAAACATCGGTTGCTTGTGCAAACGTACCATAACTGTTTTTGACCGTAAACTCCACGTCTKAAAAGGGTGTCATTGTAATCGTAWTTAAACATCGCTTTTATAGCCGAACGTTGAATGCTACTAGAACCGAACAATAGAATACTCAAGCGCGTTGTTTCGCCCGAGTTAAAAGCGGGATAGGTTGACAAATAACCGTACAACAAAAATGTTTTAAATGCCCACACAAAATATTTGAAATATCCTTATAACTGAAACAAACACCGTTCGGCCCTAAAACCGAACAAGTAAACTACTAACATGACGTTTTTTAAATGATGACACGACTGCAATTCAATTTGGTCGCCCCTACAACCGTACAATAAACTGTTTGAAATTTGCTATACGAAATGAATATTTTGGTTGCCCCTACAACCGTACAATTAATAAACTGTTTGAAACATATCACCGAAATAATATTGGTTGCCCCTACAACCGTACAATAAACTGTTTGAAGTATTGGTTACCCCTACAACCGTACAATAAACTGTTTGAAATTATTATACGAAATGAACATTGGTTGCCCCTACAACCATACAATTAATAAACTGTTTGACCCGTTAATATGTCCGAAATAAATATTGGTTGCCCCTACAACCGTACAATACGCTATTAGAAATGTTACTATCACTGAAATAAATATTGGTTGCCCCTACAACCGTACAAATAAACTGCTTGAAATGTTACTATCACTGAATTGAATATTGGCTGCCACAACAACCATGTAATAAAGTACTGCGAACCGAAAACCACGTGCAACAGAAAACAAAAGAAGAAACCGGCCAAAATTATGAACTAGAGGGAAAAATACTATTGAAAACTAACAGAAAAATTATATAACGTGTAGGAAAAGTAACAAATATACCTCGTTGGCTAKCTGCGGGTCGTCTTGTACCGCATTGGGAACTGCATTGGGAGCTGCTTGCTGACCGGCGGCATTTTGAGCGACTTGTTGCTGCTGGACAACGGCATTAGCATCTTCTTGTTGTTGACCGGCGGCATCTGCTGCTTGTTGGTCGTTCTGTCCAGCTTGCCTCAAGTTGTCTAAGGCGCCCGGGTCGGGGTTAACCGGGACCGACATTATCAGCGGGGCTTCGGCGACGAATGAAGTTGAAAAAATCGAAAATCTTGAATCTGCTTTTCGGCGGTCGAGGCGAAAGGATGCCTAATTCTGGTTTGCAAGATCTTATATAGTTAATTACCAGTCCCTGGGGACATTCCATTGTGCAAGGTTATTCCCAGATGAGTATTAATCGATAAACCCGCCCGCAAGGCCTTATTTCGAGACCAATCCCGCAGTGAGAATATTGCCTCATTCTATAATAAAACACAGGGAAACCGGTATTCAACTTATGACTCACTTCATAATAAACAAAAGGCCTATGTATTTATTTTGACTATTTAATATCCTCTCTCTATTTTTTTTACAGTTTGCTTTGTTTTTGTGCAGYCTTTCGTGGGTCTCGAGTCTTGAGTGCAAAAAACAAACTTGCCATAACAATGACTGTCTGCCTGTGCCAGCTGCGGTCTGCACTACTACAGAAGGCGCTCAATGCCATACAATAAGTTACGACGTAGAATCATCATATTTTCCCAAGTTTACGATGACAAAGAGAGGCTGCTCCGCAGGAGCCTGTGCAAAGGGGGAAGTAGAATATTGCAGGGAATTGTCCGAGAGAATGTCTAATAAAGGTTTTCCTATTTCCAACTGTTCTTTGAGATGTTGCAATACTAATTCATGCAATTCAGGTGTGTATTGAGGACTACTTACATAACGATTTAAGAAATACTTTAACAATAGGGAACTTCAGTTTTGACAACGAGTACGAGTTTTAGTACGAGTACGAACTTTCAAATTGGCTAAAAGTGTGCTATCATGAATTGCATTCCTGAGAATAAATTGAAACATCAAAGAAATAAAATCGCAAAGTGGATTGAAATCCAGTATGGATAACACAATAAAAGCTGGTTGAAAACTCGTATAAATGGTACTCAATTAATAGTCTCGTATTYGTTATCTGAAGTTCCCTAATACTCATTTTTCCCGTTMAAAGCGAACAACCGCTGSTTTAGTTGACAACAGTCTCTCATTCGCAGWGACCTGAACAAAAACAAAAGAAAGCATGAAAAAATGTTGTCGACATTACAATAGCGCTAGGTCGGTATTCCCAGAAGGTTCAGCGTCTTGCTCAGGCTAAGCCTCGCATAGGAGAAGATTCAAATTTCTAGAGCTGTTGTAATGTCAACAGTTTTTCGTGCTTTCTTTTGTCCTCTACGCAAGTGAGTCTGTTGTCTACAAAAACAGCGGTCGCTCGCATTGAACTGGAAAAAGGCTTWTTAGACCTTGAGGGCGAGTGGACTATACTATATTGCTTTAGTATTACCATACTAGTTGGACAAAAAAAATGAATTAAAGATATAAATAATAATATTTCTAATAAAACTTCGTGCTTTCGGGTTCATCTTTACAAAAAAGAATTACATATACGCCGACTTCATTTAACACGCTTGGCATGTTTGACATTAAATGTAAATCAATTTTCTAATTTCAAATCTCTTATTTTGTTTGTTTGATGACAATTCCAGCAACCAAAGTCAAAGGAAGCGGTAAGATAAAAAAGCCGGATAAGAAGAGATCAGCGGCGATAAAATATATCACAGAAATGCTTGAGAAAGTCAGTAGAGAAGGGCAGTAAAAACTGATAATCATGAGCTAAACAACGAATGTAGTAGATGAAACTAGACGCATAGCTGCGTGAACTCGGGGTTCTGCTTGAATATATTAAAACGATGAAGTGACTCCAATGAGTGTTGTAGTCGAAGAATTGAGAAGAATTGGACAATATTGAACCTTAATAAAGTTAATAGTCATACTATCAAAGGCGTAAAGCAAAAAAATACTTCCTGGAATAAAAAAAATGAAAAAACAGTGTACTCAGCATAAATATTATGAAAACATTGATCATCAGCAAGCCGGTCTCACTTTGATAGTCACATGACAGGCTGTGAACACAGAGTCTTTTATCTTCTCCGCTCTTCCATTCGTCGGCTTTTCCTCAGAAGAACTCTGTTCGCATTCCTTAGACGAGACCTTAGTAGTTTTAGAGCCTGCATAAGTTCGTATATAGTTCGCTTGTGCTAAGATAGAGTGGTTCTCATTAACCCGTGAAATACACTTTAGCGTATTACACTTTATTACACTTTGTCTCTTTTGCTTTCTATTATATTTCTTGGCTATTACACTTAATTACACTTTGACTATTACACTTTGTTTCACGGGTTAATGAAAACCACTCTAAGTAGCTTGTTTGATAGACAATTCTCGATAGACTCGATCTCGATAGACAGTAAGATAAATTCTCGCTAAAGTTTTACTTTCGGAACTGGAATATTGGTAGTTCCAAATTTCGAGTCTTTCTGAGCAGCTATCCACAATGTAAACATACTGTGRCGTCATTATGCCATGGAGCAATTACGTCATCCATGTCATCGAAACAGAGAAACTTTGTCTGCCAAACAGTTCAAATGTTAATTAAAAAAAGTGAATACAATTTATCATAAATTCACCCTGTCACACTTACCACCTGCACTGTGAGATGCTGTTAATTGTAATGACGCATTAAGGTCTTGTTACTTAACGAAAATTATCAATTTTTTCATTCACCTGTTTCTCGTCACTCTCGTCATACATGCTTTCCTGGCTAGAACTTGGAGTGTCGGCGTTATAAATGTTAAAATAGGGAACTTCAGATTTGACAACGAGTACGAGTTTTAAAATTGGCCTTAAGTGTGCTACTAATCATGAATTGCATTCCTGTACGTGAATAGATTAAAGTACCAAAGAAATAAAAACATGAAGTGGATTGAAATCCGGTATGGATAACACAATAAAAAGCTGGTTTGAAAACTCGTACTCGTACTCAAACTCGTACTCGTTGTCAAATCTGMAGTTCCCTAATATCCCTTAACAACAGTGACGTCAAAACGTCATATGAGTAAAATTCCCGTTGTTACGCATGAAGACACAGAACAAAAGTTGTCCTTCAAATAATTGATGCCTTTATATATGCCAAGAATGCGTGAAGTATTTCCTTTTAACATAGCTATAGATTGGCAAAGAAAAAGATAAACGCAAATGTTTGAGCGATATATAATAATCATGGTTAACCATCCTCGGGAACCCAGGGGTAATAGGAACGAACGACAGAAGATTACCCCTGGGTTCCCGAGGATGATGGTTAACTCGCTGGAATCACGAAATTATTCAGACGTTTCCCCATTTCCTAAGAACTAACGAGGTTCCATCGATCCTTGATTACACACAGCAGTTCTTGAAGTCAGTATCCAATATAAGCAGAAGRAAAAAGAAATAAACGAATTTCAATGAACACTTATTCTTTCATAATTTGTATAATCCACAATTCATACATTTTTACTTATTTACACTTTTGAATTTTGTACAAAACTAATTTTATGCCTCTGATACAGACTATTGTAGTCTGATAAATCTATAAAATGTTAGATATAAGTATACATCATGACAGCGTTTTGCGGGTGATAAACTAAGCTATATAACCGATAATTTTCACTGTCCAGGTCTGTCAAGAGTCGGCTTCTACTGAAAACCCTGTATACCCAACATTTTGCTGGTCCCAGCTTATGTCAAAAGTTGGACATTGCTCAATGAAGCTATCAAACACATTGAATGGGCTTAGAATGTGTTTGAAGAAACGGCAATATTAGGACAATGCAATTCAGTCAGTCCCTATGACATTATTTTGAAGGAAAAACTGTTTTATACTCTCAACAATGTCATTCCTTTTAACCTTGATGACAGCTTTAACAAAGTCAGTTAAAGTGAGAGTTGGCGTTCGAGTTCCCAACACCTCAAGCAATTGCGAGCCTCTTAAATGGCTCGCGAAGCTTTCAATTCCATCCAATGCTTGCCTGTCAAGTCCCAGTTCCTGACCAATCTCCTTCCAGCCCACTTGGAGTGGTGGATTTACTTTTGAGATGGCAATTATAATTTTTTCCTGTAGGTTGTAAGGTACGTCTTTCAACAGGTATCCACTTGGCCAAGTCTCTTCTAGGACTGGTACAGGTTGGGCATTGGTATCTGTGATCCAAAGACATGGCCGAATCAGGATCAGAATAAGGAGAGATCAAGACAGGATTATTGTTATTATAATTGTAAATATATTAATAGCATTCTAGATTATTGCTTCAATTAGTTGTATAAATTTTTATTATTTTGAAATTATCATTATTCTTTAAAAAAATATTATTAATACTTATTATTATCATCATTATTAGGATAGATATAACACAGCAAGATTACTTAAAAAAAAACAATGCATTGCCCAGCATTCCCGATACTGTTTGAGGCAATGAAAAAATAGATACCAGGACAAGAAAGAGCATATTAAAATTAGTAAAGTAAAGTTTGAGAGTTATTTGGATAATACTGTAATTACATAAAGCCAGTTCGTGGCTGTCAAGTCCCAGTTCCTTACCAATCTATACGTCATAATGCAAACGGCCTATTCGCTTTTCCTTGCTTAAAATGCCTGATTTTCCAGACTTTTAATGTAATATCTGTTCACTGTTGAAGACATTATATCATATATATTTTTCTTTCGTCTGTTTCTCGTCATATTTGCTCGATTTGTCTTTATAGTCATGAATACCAGTGGGGGGCTCACTGTATGAGTGTTCCACGGAACACTGAATATGATGACGTCATTGAAGTCATGTGAGTAAACTTGTGACGCAGATAACGAAAGAATAATCCAAACAAACTTCAAATTTCCATAAACTTCATCTTTCAAATAGCTTTATGTGCAGACTGCGAAATAATACCTTAAAAACATCGCTACAGATCGGCAAAGAAAAAGATTGACAGCTGAGTTTTCGCGTTAAAATTAAACCTCGGGTTAATTGTTTAAATTCCTAAAGCAGTTAGGGAATCCCCCAAGACCGTGGGGGTCTCATTGTACGTGCAGCAGTACCATACAACCTAAACGTCCGCGTCACTAAGTCAATATCCAATGTAAAAACAAAAGTTGTAAGAATCAGCCCCATGACATCTTGGCTCTTGCATAGTATTTAGGTCTGCTATAACGGAAATTGACAAATTGCTCAAAATTGAGTAAGTGATCGCACTTTGCAACTGTACAAAATCTAAGTAGTTTTAATTTGTACTAAAAGTGGACCTGAAGCAAGACGGTATTAAACGCGTCATTTGTATCAATTCAATTTAATTTGCGTACCGCGTGCACGATTCACTAAATACACCTAAACAGCACTATTTAGTTTGTACAGTTGCAAGGTTTAAGTGCGATCACTCTATTAATTGTTAGCAACATGTTTTTAATGTTTTTTCTTAAATTCTGATAAATATTCTTATTATTTTGGCATGGATTTTCACAGTCGATGACGTCGTAGACTTGACCCTAATGTTGAACCAAAATTTGTAGTCAACTGTGGATAACATCACAGCAAAACGTTTTCCCAAACAAGTTTCTAATAAATATGTATTAAATATAATGCTTTAATTATTAGCGGTTTCAATTTTTTGTAGAAGTATAAACTTCACATTTGAGGAGATTACATGAGGGTAAAGGTGAGATTTGCAGCTATAATAAACATATTTCACAATCTATATAACACTCATTTATTTACAATCTTATATAAAACTAACTAATACAAATGCCTCTAATAAAGACTTTTGCTCTGCTAAATCTAAAAATGCCACATATAAGCATAAATACAGCTGTTGTTCAAAGGTTCTCCAAAAATCAAGAGCATAAGACATATAAGGGTGGATTGTGGGTAACATCACAGTTAAAAAGGGGTCTATTTACAGATATTTACAAATTGAAACTTAATGACACAATAATAACTGTGCAGAGATTCTACTTAAGTGCCACTAATTATTCCTAAATTACTTCTAATTTCAATCAATTATTATAAATAATTATAGAGCATTAATTTGTAACCAAGAAGTAGAAATCTGACTTCTAAAAGACTGACTTTCACTCAACGCTCCTGGGCTCAGTTGTTCAAAGCCTGATTATAGCGTTAATCAAGGGTTAACTTCTTATAACTATATTTTTAAGAGCAAAGCTAGGATTAGCACTTATTAATTTTTGAACAACCAAGCCCAAAATTGAATTAAATGCATGACTTTCTGAATATATTGTCAAAATTTCACTCCCAACTCTAAGGTACTCATAACAATAGGGTACTATGAGTGAACAACATTATTGACGACTGGCATTAGCCATGAAGTCATATTATATACAGTTAAATATTTTTAAATGCTTTTGGGGATGTATTAATAATCCAAATATAGGTCAACCAAATTTTACCAATTCATGCTAAAAAATGCATAAAAATTGAAATTATATCCAGGCACATGCTGATTGTTATTGGGATGCGCATGCATGCACCCAAGTCTACAATAGATGCAATAATTATGCTAATTTAACCATACATTATATTCAGTATATGCAAGAATAATATATTATACAAAGTTAAATGAAATACCAAGGTAATCTCTTGCACAAAGTATCAATTGTATCTCTAAGAAGCCTTATTCACAGTTCAAAGCACTGCCCAATATAGATGCAAGTGTGAGGATAAAACATTTCAATAACATTTTAATGTTACAAATATAATTTTAGATACAATAGATAATATGTTTACTCTACAAATGTTTGATTTTCATCATGACCCATGCAGGCATCCTCATTGGACTGTGCTTTTAACTGTGAATTAAGGCTCGCATTGGACTCTTTATTGATCCATGGGATTTTGTCCTATTGCATTGTCACTATTTGCATGCAATTCAGTCATTTCCTATGGCATTATTTTGAAGAAAAAACTGCTTTATACTCTCAACAAGGTCATTCCTTTTAACCTTGATGACAGCTTTAACAAAGTCAGTTAAAGTGAGAGTTGGCTTTCGAGTTCCCAACACCTCAAGCAATTGTGAGCCTCTTAAATGGCTCGCGAAACTTTCAATTCCATCCAATGCTTGCCTGTCAAGTCCCAGTTCCTGACCAATCTCCTTCCAGCCCACTTGGAGTGGTGGATTTACGTTTGAGATGGCAATTATAATTTGTTCCTGTAGGTTGTAAGGTACAGCTTTCAACAGGTATCCACTTGGCCAAGTCTCTTCTAGGACTGGTACAGGTTGGGCATTGGCATCTGGAATCCAAAGACATGGAATCAGGATCAGAATCAGGAGAGATAAAGACTATGATTATTGTTATTAATAATTGTAATAATTGTAAATATATTATCAGCATTCTAGATTATTACTTTAATTACTTGTATAAATTTTTATTATTTTGAAATTATCAGAAATAAACACTTTCATTATTATTTTATATACAGCAATATGCAGAAATTCTGACCACTTTGACTCATATTCCAACTATATATAAAATATATCAGAAATTATGGGATATCATCGCCGATATTTTTTTCAGATACTACTGATCCTAGGCAACTTCAAAAAAATATCAGTGATCATATCCCATAATTTCTGATATATTTTATATATAGTTGAAATATGAGTCAGAGTGGTCAGAATTTATTTCTGCATATTGCTGTATATATACACGATATAGAAATGAAAGAAAGTTATAGAGCCTTTTGCAAAAATTATGAGAATTGTTGAAATATCTAAATATCATAATATCAAGTGCATGATGGGTAATCACACGCGAAGCCCTTTGTCCCCAACAYGCGGATTTGTTAGAATAATTCATTGTTGACTCGAGGAAAGGTTCAGAACTATGGATAAGTCCRTCGCCAAAAAAAAATCTAAACTACAAAGACAAGGGACAAAGCGCATCGCCCGTGATTACCCATCATGCACTTGATATTATGATATTTAGATATTTCAACAATTCTCATAATTTTTGCAAAAGGCTGTAAATATATATAATTACACTATATGTGTATTGAGCACTCTTTAACGGGATCAGCAACTTCATATGATTATCATTATTATTTGAAAAAATTATTATTATTATTGATTATTATGTAATATATAAAATATGAGTGGGAGACCTTTATGGGCATTTAAAACTGTGAGCTGCAAGCGAGCAGTTTTATAGCCCATAAAGGCCGGACGCGAATATTTTATATTGCTTATCAAATTCCAACATAAGGTGAAGCATATTTTGAAAAAAACTTCAGGATAAAATATCATTAATTTTGTAAGAGAAAATCGAAGTTAAAGTTGTATGCAAATCAGGACAAATCTCTTGCTCATATAAAGATACACTCACGGCAATGATTTTCCATTGTGTTTACTTTATGAATTATTAATGAATTTGATAACATCATTAATAGGATAGATATAAAACAGCAACATTACATTTAAAGAAAAACAATGCATCTTGCTATTGCCCATTCTGAAATTCAAAAAGGGACTCGACTATTAGTCACAACCTCGATACTGTTTGAAGCAATCAAAAAAGCAGATACCACAGGATAAGAAAGAGCATACTAAAATTAGTATAGTTGCTGAGTTTGAGAGTATTCGGATGAATTATTACAGAGTTTCAAGGGTTTAAAACTTGAAATTTACAAAGAACGTATGGAGCTCTTGAGCAGCATCCCCAAAAACCATACATTCTCTCTTATTTTTAGAAATTTGAAATAATTCCTCTTCCAAAATAATTGGTTAAGGTGTGGAAAAAATTGTTAAATATTTATATTAATTGGGAAAAATTGAAAAAATATCATACCATTACGCTGCACTGGAGGAGAATCCCGCATATTGTTGAGTGCAATTTTCTCTTCTTTTTCACCCTCTTCCACTGATTTACAAAAGTTCATACACCTTTTGCATTTTTTACTTTTTTTCCAGCTGCAGTAGACACCGGTTGAGATGGCTGCCAAAACCAGCACTATCCCTATGACCAAGACAACAATCCAAATCATATCGATCTTCTCTTTGTGCTCTGTAGATGACTTGGAATTGGAAGACAGTACAGACTCATCATTTGGTTGGTTGGTTGAAGCTGTTTTCTGTGGGCTTGTTTTGCGTGATGGGTTGGCTCTTTGAGTGACAGCTTGGCTTGTAGGAGAATGTGTAGATGGTGTTGATACTGGTGTGGCTGTTGTAGTAGTAGTAGCTGGCGTAGGTGTAGTAATGGGCGCTTGACCAGGTTCACATATCTCAACGACATCATTCCACACGAACCCCTCATCACAAATATCAGGACTGCACTTAGTTGGCGTAACACTTGTACAGGGTCTAAGCATTACATGGCCATGGCATTGTGGGCAGGGACGGCACATGGCTGAACTGTTTGTATCACTGTATGTTGTCCCTACYACACAATGCACACACTTCAACTTCTGCGATGTCTTAATGGATCTCCCTCCACATTCGTAATTCTGRCCAAATCCTGGRGGGCAGCTGAGRCATGGTCGGCAGGAACATTTGGTTCCAACGTCATTGCAGACCTCTATATGGTTAGGGTCAAAGCAYCTGCCTTCAGCGAATTTATACCACACCGTAAAAAATGAGATGAACACAGTTATAAAAACCTGAAAAAAGAAAAAAAAAATTAAGCATGTGATAATTTGATTTTTTTTTTCAATTTGACTTGAGGCAGTTAACAAAATTTGTATTTTCTCAGACATGCTGAAATCAAAACTACAAYGAAAATACAACATAAAACTTGAGATTAAAAAAGCTTTTGTTCTTTCCAGATATTTTAAAATATTAATTGAATACGACACAGGAAATTAATTTTCATACTTTGATGCTTGAATCCACCAGAAATTGAAAGGAAATCAATTACGGCCTTGTCAATCAAAATAATGCTTGAGATTAAGAAACGTTTGTTGTGTTGCATCAGCTGAGGGTCATGTGAATTCAAGAATGTAAACTATTTCTTGACCTCTTCACTAAAATGCGTAGTAGTCTATACTTTTACTGGGCTTCAACGCATTTTTAATCAATTTTTACAAATTCTAAAAAGTGAAACTTTATAAAACAAATTATGATGCACACTTAGGGGGCTGAAGAACATGTAGTTACGCATCAGCTGGATATTTCTCCCGCCAAACGATGACAACAACTCGGTCATTGATCGTGAGTACGTCAATGAATGAGTAAGCAATTTTGCTTGGTGGACTTTGGTCTTGAGCCGAAAAAGTTTACAAACTCAAAATTGTAAAAAAACTCTTTCTTAAGCATAAAATACGATCACTATGCACTCTTTGGGATCTTGAATTACTGTTTTTTCGATGCTAGAAGTAGGATATTTTAGTGAAGTGATGTAATGTTACGGTTCATTAAATACATATGCGTAGTAAGTTGTTTGCCGTTATGAAAGAGATTTTATGCACTTCAAACCTACCCTTAACTTTAAAACAGTTTAAAAAACTTAAACATCTACTCAATACATAATTACTAAACGTCTAAACTGATATAATATTTAGCAATTCGGAGGAGGAGAATTTGAACAGCTGCTATCAAACCAGACCCAGGGTTAGTTAAATACCCACACAGGTGTAGATTGCACAAATTGCAAAATTCCTGATCGTTTGACTCTTACAAAAAACAAAAGGAAAACCTTATATATTAATTGAATTCCTAAGTATTTGATATTAGTCATGATATCTAAAAAAGATGATCTATTCTTACCTTTTTAAACATTGTGACTGGATTTATTAAGGCCACCGTCCACGCGTGAGCGAGAGACGGCTGCCCAATTTTCACATCATGTTTACCATCTGATATTTCCACGAGTTGATATTCTATTGAGTAAAAATGCCTACTGTTTCAAGGAGAGTTGTGTTCTTTTCACAGGAGGCCAGTACTGGACAAAGCGAGTTTTATGAATGACTCTTATCCAATGTTTGACCTTCTAATATATTCACACTAGACGGGGAATCCCCGACGGAAATCACTGATTGACTGGGCCTACGTATTGGCCAATCGGATATCAGCTTCGGACGTCATCGCTTGGAAGAGTGCGTCTGGAATCTTCCAGAACATTCAAGAAGGAGAGCTCTCACATAATTTAAGCTGCAGCGAGATTCAAACTAGACACTTTTGAACAACTTTTAAGTCTTTTCGGGTAGAAAAACGACGAAATACCCAAGTGATGTTGAAATTAAGGCTATTTCGCAATATAAATGATGGTGCAATTTCCGGTAAGGAAAATGACGTCAGTACATTTGGCCTCTCCGTTTACAGCAGTGACTCACTACAGCAAGGATTCACTGGCAATTAATGAATAAATATAACGAAAAGCAACAACGCAACAACTAGGCAACACAGTACAGTTGGGTTTAATTGACGTCATCTCAATTTTTTTCTCGCATTAAAATAAATTAATATCCTTTTAGAGCATAAAAAACTACAAAGTTTGAAAAAAAGTTTAGAGTTGTAGAGCATTTGCATGCGGAATTATTGGCAATAGATTAATGCGAAATTTGGTAAAAGTGTACATGCAGGCATCCAGACGGTGGTCGGATSTTGAATTCCTTCGCATCCGAAAAACGGATACGGAGGAGACGAGATGCTGACAGCCGTGTGAATTCAAAGGCTTACAACGGAAGGAAAATGAAGTTCTAAGGACATATTTCGTTATAATGTATTTTGGATTCGGTATAATATTTTTATATGCAAAGCAGAAATTTCTGTACACCATTGAACTTTTCATGTGGCGGAGTTGCGTGACACAATTGAAGCTATTTAAAGCTCAAGATATTTTAAAAAATATCTCAACAACTTAAGAATAATATAAACTAATTTTTTTTCTTATGAATTTATATGACTTTTAGTTATATACATTTTGCATTGCTATTCAATGCATATTAGTCAGGTCTCTTATGCCAAAATATAGGCCGGATCGTTACAGGAGTGACAAAAGCACCAAAATTGGCAGAGATATTTGTTAGGACCCAACAATTAATATTAGAGTGGGAGCCCAACACAATTTTCGTAATTTAGGGGATTAAGGGGGTCTTTTTGAAATTTGCCATAATTACGAATTGGGCTTCCTGTGGTGGTTTACAGTTTTCAATTAAAACAGCTTCAAAGAGATGTAGTAGTGGCATTTATTGACTGAAACTATTACATTATTCATATATTACATAGACATTATATTTATATACTAGTTTCCAGTCCCTTCTCGCCACAGCTTATTCGGTTCAACCAAAAGATCTCGCTATTTCGTACGTTGATGTGTGTTCTCTAAACAAATATACATTCGAATAGCTCGAAAAGAAACACCAAGAAATATTGTGATTCAGCTATGTAGAGGAAACAGCTTTGATAACTGAAAATCTTCAGTTTCAT